GATCAACACTTCGATACTCTTGGAGAAGCTCGACAAGCGATCAATCCAGCTTTCGAAATTATAAGATGTGAAATGTGTAGAAAATATGTTGAAGAATATTTTTCCAAACAATATCTTACTTCAGAAAATGTTTTCAAATTGTCTTGTAAACAATGCCATGAAGAAAAGCAACTTAATCTTCCACCCTGCTCATACTGTGGAAATCGAGATGAATCCAGGAATATATATATTACTGGCAGCTATGAAAAATGATACTTCTGTACTTATGAACACCAATGTATCTTTTGGTTTAACCGTGATGGATGGCGCAAAAATTCTGGAATCATTCGAAAACTCAGAGAACGATCTCTCTTGATTGATGTCTATTCAGCCTATAACGAAATTGGAAAAGCAATATTATCTCGCTATATACGTGAAGAAGATATTGAAAATGAAATTAGATACATCGAATATAGTGAATCAGAAGAAGCCTCAGCTATTGAAATCTTCCACTCGATCTATCAATAGATCTCTCCAGAATGATGATTACAACTTGCCAAACTCGAATTTATCAATGTCAAACTTTGTGAAGACTGTCTTATCCCCTGCGATTCAACTTATTGTGATGATTGCGTACAATCAGAGCAATCAGTTACTAATCAACCATCCATGGAAATTGACAAAGGTGAGAATGAACTTCTTTTTAAAGTCTGAATATAATAATATTGATGCGTGGGTGAGTTTTTTTTTAATTCTTTGAATGCTTCTTCATGTTCTTTCTTTCATTTATAACATTGATCTTTCTTTAATAGTTTATGTAACGGCTCAGCAGTATTAGAGAATCTTTGGATAAAGCATCTGTAGTAAGATGCTAATCCTAGAAATCCTCGTAATTTCATGATGTTTGTTGGTCATGGGAATTCTTTCACTTTTTCTATTTTGGCAGGATCTGGCTGAATTCCGCTTCTTGTAATGACATGATCTAGGAACTCAAGCTGTTTCTTAAAAAAGTGACACTTGTCAATGTTTAGGCGTAATCTGGCTTCCTATAGTCTTTTGAAAGTTTGTTCTGAGTGTTCCAAGTGGCTTCCAAATGATGGTGAGTGGATATTGGTGTCATCCAGATAAATGACCAAGCAAGACCGGAGTAAACTGTATTCATAAGTCATTAAAAGGTGGTTGGTCCATTTGTTACGCCGAAGGGCATTACGTTAAATTCGTAAATGTCTTGTTGGATGGTAAAGATGGTCTTCTCGCGACTATCTGGATCCATCTCGACTTGCCAATAGCTGCTTGCTAGATCCAGTGTCGAGAACCATTGGGATCCTCCTAGTGAGTCTAATTATCTTATCAATTCATGATAGGAGATAGGCGTCTTTCTTAGTGACTGAGTTAAATTTCCGATAATTGATGCAAAATCATAATTTCCCATCTTTCTTTTTTACCAATATGACCGGTGACGTCCAAGGGCTAGCTGACGGGTGAATTATATCATTTTTGAGCATTCGTTCTATTTTCTGGGTAATGAATTCGATAGATTTTGGTGGTGTCTGGTACGCTCGTTGCCTAATTGACGTGATATCTCTGGTATCAATTTTATGTCGTATTCGGTTAGTTCTTCCCATGTCATTGTTGTCTGTCACGAATAGATCAGTATATTTTAATAGTAACTGGTGTAACTGTTTTTGTTGCTTTTCCATTATCTTTCCTATATTCACTCTTGGTAAATCCTTTATTGTTAATATATAGGTTTTAGCTTCTTTGATCGTTCTTCGTGACCAGATCATTTTGGTTTGATGTGGAAATATCAAATTATATCTTTTGCAGAGCGAAAAGTTTGTAACTATTGGATATCATCCTCAAAATATCCAAGTATCGTTCCTTCTTCCAGTATGATTGTTTGATTTTTTTGATTAACCAAGGTGAGTTGGATTTTGTACTGCTTTCTGAGAATGATGTACTGATGATTACATATGATTTCATATTTTGCAAAGAGTTCATGGTTCAGCTTGAATAATAGTGCTTTAGTACTGACAGTTTCTTTATTTCGACTTTCCCATATAATCATTTTATTTGGGTAGATGGTGATTGTTCTTTCTAACAATACGGGTATTCCTTGGATGATATTGTTTCCATTCTCTTCAGGTATATCAGCGAGGTTTATCGTTTGTTTCATTCTTCCTGTTGATTCTAATCTTTTCTGACCTCTTTTACTTTGTCCTAGTTCAGTGTATGTTCTTACCGGCGTTAGCTTCCTGATCGACAGAATTAACAAATATAGGGCTTGACCAATTCTTTCTTTAGACAATATTTTGTAGTCTTCTTTTGATTCATTCTTAAGAATAATTTGTAGATTTTCAACATATCTGGTGTCTACAATTCCTTCTTTGATAGTAATCCCTTTTTTGGCGAGTGACGATCTAGATGTCAATTGCATCATACTATTTTTGGAGACTTCCACCACGATCTCTAGGTCAATTATGGTGGTTTCTTCGGGTGACAGAGTAAGTGACTTTTTTCCTGGATAATACAAGTCGAATTCAGCATCCGTGTCATGTGCTTTTGTCAGTAATCTCGCATTTTCTCCTTCGATATAGCATTTAACTTTTCGTTCCTTTCCTTTTGATCGTAAGGATTGATATTTGTTTATTTCAGGTGGAATTGGGTCATTGATTAATTCAGCGAAGTATTGCTCTACTTCGTTAAACCAATTAGTTATTTTTTGCTTTCTTGGATTTCATTCATTAGTTCCGTGAGGGAATCAAACCAATCAGTTGGTAGCAGTATGGCTGGGCGTGATGGTTGGTTTCTATTGGTAAGATAATCTGCTTCCATTTGATCATACCAATCCATTAACTCATTCCAATCTTCTCTTGGAATTGATATTACTTTAGGGTAACAATCATCACAATATCATTCTTGACACAGCATTAAACATTCATCACATAGCTTAATCTTTATATTGGCGAGTTCTTCTTCCTGTCATAACTTGGTTGGTGCTAATCGCTGGTAATTTTCATGGAAAATTCCTTGATCATCAAGCCAGTCATAATCAGTAATTTCATCGATGAAGATATAGTACTCTTCATCTTTTATTTGGTGGATTTCCTTGATTGGTGCTTGATTTATAAATTTGATGGCTAATTTCTTGACCCTTTCATTTTCTTCAGGTTCAAGACTCATTCAGTCGCATGCTCTCCAGAAGGCAGCCTGGAATGGTGTTCCTTGATTATACTATCACTTGATCAGATAAGCATACTTGCAATCTTGGTTGCATACTCCTCCTACGCCGGGAATGTCTTCCCAATCATATTTCATCGGCATTATCATTTTGCACAATAAACAGTTCATTTCATCCCATAATCCAGTTCTAGTAGGTTGAATGATATGTCTGAAGCAGTTATTGGCACATCATTTACAGAAGTAGGCAGTTTTCTTTTTCTATTCCTCATTCAAATTATTGGTAGCAAACATTTGGGATAACTTCTTCCTACATTCGTTACATTCTAATTGAGGTGGTATCCATTGGTTCTTTCTTGTCAGTGGGATTGACCTTTGTTCTTGTCGTTTCCATCCGCTTTCGGTGATGGCGAAGTTTTTGTATTCAATTATAGGTGCATAGGGATCATGTTCGTGTTTTTGTTTCTTTTCAAAACTAATCAGGGTGCTTGCTTCTTTTTCTTTGTAGTTGATGGTCATCCAATTGGCATGCCAATTGAGACGAGTATGAATTTTCTTTATCCAGTCATTTCTGACCAGAGCCTGATATTACGGGACGTCAATTACCAGTACTTTGATTAGTACGACTATTCCTTCAATTTTGAACGGAAAGTTATCGATTTCTCCCCTTGGAACAGTTCATGTTCTGTTTGCTGTGATGATTTTGGTGGTGGAAGGTCGTAGGATTTTTCAGTTTAGCTTTTCAAGGAGTTTGGTGATGACGATGCTTCCTGCAGAACCAGAGTCAATTATCAGTTTAATTGTTTTATTATCCACCTTTGCTTCAATTGTCATTGCCATCATTTTTTCTTTTGTCTTTGTTGTGGCAATGGATGTTGTCTCTTGTATTTGTTTTGAGATTGGTTGTGCCTAAAGATGGCGCGGCAACTGTTGCAACGTGGTGACAAATAAAGCATCACCTAGTTGCAACTAGTTGCAGCTTATAAAATTTTGGAGTTGCAACGTGTTGCAACGGATGACAAATAAGCGTCACATACTTGCTGCGCCATCTCTAGGTGAAACCATTGGTTAATCCGAATGGCATGACATTGAAATGAAATAGTCCTTGATTTGTGATGAATGCTGTTTTTTCTTTATCTTTTGGGTGCATCTCGACTTGTCAAAAGCCGCTTGCAAGATTCATTGTAGTGAAGTATTTGGCGTTCTTAAATGAGTTCAACAATTCGTTGATTCTTGGAAGAGGGTATCGATCTTTTTTAGTGATTTCGTTTAATTTGCGATAGTCGACACATAGTCAAAATTTTCCATTCTTTTTGCGTGCTATTACTACGGGAGCAGACCAAGGGCTATCAGAGTGAGATATTATTCCATTGTTCAACATCTTTTGTATTTCTTCTTCTAGGAACACATTTTCCAAAGGGAACTTCTGATAGTATGGGCGTAGTGTAATAGGTCATTCTTCTTCTAGATGGATTTCGTATTGTATTACATTGATTCGGCCAGGTTCGTCAGTGAAGAGATCATTATATTCGGCTAAGAGTTGATTAAGTTGATCTTGTTGCACCAGATTTATATCTGAATCGATTGAAGTTGTTGTTGCATTTAATGATGGTTGTGGGCAGATTTCCAATTGATTATGGATCTGTTGTTCCTTGGTGCACTGGTAGCAGTTAAGATCTTCTTGGTTGTGTTTGCATTCATGATAGTCCTCCAAGCGTTCTTGATGAATTCTTTTCACTTCAATTTGGTCAATTACTTCATCATTTATTCTTACTGATTCTTCCCGAATTTTTATTTGCAGGATGGGTTATTCATTCAGTTCTTCATTAACGACATATAAGAGTTGATCAATTAAATCTTCATCTTCGTATTCTTCCAGGTCGATTTCATCTGGTGGTTCTATTTCATTTGATTCCTCTTCGAATTTTATTGGTGATTGTGGTGATGATTGTTTGATGCAGGTACACTGTACAAGGTAGGATGCTCCATTATTTTCAAAGCTCAATTGTCCTTTTTGCCAATTTAGTGTGGCTTTTCTTCTTTGCGCCCAATTATTCCCAAGTAGTAAATTGTATTCGGCGTGCTCCATGATTAGTGCATTGATTTGTTGTTCACTTCCTCCAATATTAATCTTTAATTGTTTAATTTCACCCAAAGGTCTTTCGTGCTTTCCATTTATGCCGACTAAGTTAATGTTAGATGGTTGGTCAATTCTTCGATTAATTTGTTTTAAGAATTTTCCAGATATCACGTTGCTTACTGATCCACTGTCGATAATTATTCTGGTTTGTTGATTTTCTACGGTTCCTTCACAATACATGGCATCGTTTGGTTCTGATTCTGG